CTAACGTGCTGCCAAGCTCCAGCTCTCTTTCTAGCAGCTGAATTCTTGGATAAAATCATTTTGCAGGGTATGAGCAATGCAGTTCTGAAAATAGCATCACTGCAAAATGAAAGATGGCAAGAACCTCCATAATGCTGATTTATTTCAATTAAATTTTGTCTCTTATGATCAGTATCTATTTTCATATTTCCAGCTGAATTTTCATACTTAATAAAATGTAAATCTGCAGAATTTGTTGATTTCAAGGCCCCAGCATAATTGTCTAAAAGGGACAAAGAAAAAAAAAATCCCCATACACAATTTACATCATAAGACATGTAAAACACAAAAATGCTCTGTAGAACCAAATAATTTGCATTTATCACCACCATTTAGACAGAGACTCACAAAAAGAAACCAACACCAATCAACAAACCGTTTCCCATTTATCCTTAAGTATGTTTCTACTAGAAGATGAAATTGGAGTGATACTTTTTTAAATACCAGTAGGTTTACATCTTGCATAATGTTCAGCTTTCAGACATGTGCTGCTGAGAAAACACTAAGAGGTGTTATTGCACTTCCCTGATTCTAAGTAGATTACATCTTTTGGCTTTCTTTCCAATTCCCTGACACAAAGGCATACTTCAGCTGATTTTTTTTTTCCTAATAATGAAGATTTTTAAATAGATTGGAAAATACAATTGAGAAGGAGTCTGGCATTTTAAAATCCATTAATGCAGCTGTCTTATCTAATTAACATCAGCAATAAAACTGGCATTCTTCTATCACAGATTTTATGCTAAAAATGGGGTTATATGTATATGAAAAGTGTCAAAATCCCGAAGTCTGACAGTAGAAACAGATGAAAAGAATGCTACAGAAATATCTTCTATCTACATTCAGTCCCTGATTTTCTATAGAAAGCGATGCTGTGTACCAAGCCCAGCTACATTCTCAGCAAGATCTACACTTGTTATGTGCAGAAACTAAAAATATGAATGTCCCAGTTGTGCAAGCTTTAATTCATATGACTCATTTAGACTTCCCCAGGTTGTCCTAATGACACCAAAACAGTAAGGATGATTCATGCAAATAAAAAACAGGAATACCCAACTTCTTCTCTAAGTATTTCCTGCCAGCATACACATATATGTATGTATGCATATGATCTTTATCCTCTGTATATTATTTTTATCGTCAGATGTTTACACCTATATATCTAAGTATCAGATCTGTTTTGATTATAATATGTAATTTAATCTCTACATACAGAACAGGTGACTAAGAAAGAAAAAAGACAAATTATGGAGAGAAAATGAGGAGAGGAGGAAAATAAGAGAAAATAAAATAAAAACAGACATTCAGAATGATACAATCATAGAAACAGTACCATTGATATTGAAAGGCTTCATCTGCAGTTTTATCAAAATTAAATTCTGCATTTTGTTTTGGTTTTTTTTTTTCTTTTTTAATCAGTACAGAGGTTTAACATCAGAAAGCATTAGGTATATTTTTATATCATACAGTAATCAGTATCTTTAAAAATATCAACTCTGCTAAGACACACTCTATCCACAGTGTACTTAAGAATTGCAACATATTTTTAAACTCAAGACTATCTGTTCTGATGCAGTATAGAAAAAAGAATAGACATAAGAGTGAGTCCTGTGTTACCTTTATCAGGAAAACATATGAACTACACTTATTTAATAGCATTTTTTGGTCAAACCTTTATAGATGTGGATGATAAATGAATATATATACATATATATAGTTTAAAAGAAAAAATTGTTTGTGTACTGTGTCAGCAGTAGTGTGGTTATAGCGGCAGGAGTTCTATATACAACAATATTCTCATATAAGTGCAAAATACCTACTGTCCTGGGTGTATAATTGAAGTGTTTGCAGTTGCTATTCTAAAGGTAGGAGCATGATACCCTGTATGAACATATAATAGATCCCTAATATATGATATAATGGATATTATACATTTTAATGAAACCAAATATGTATTAATCAGTAGCTAAACCTTATAGCTAAAGATCAAGACATAATTATTGCAATAGTTCATTAAAGAAAAGTCTTCAATATGTGTGCTGAAATATATAGAACACAGGAAACCACAAATGCTGCTATCCCACCTACTCAGATTTTCAATCAAAAATTAAGTCTTCCATTTCATACAGCACAATCCTTCATTTGAAATTGTCTATACATTGCTGGGTAAATATATCAGACCCTTTTTGGCTTGCCAGAGAAGTAAAATTAATCAAATTACTCAGGTTCTATCAAACAGGCATTCCTTAAACCTTCAGCATTTTTTACTAAAAAGGTTTCATATTTGTGTATGACTGTGTTGGTGTTAAGGGATTCTGAATGTTTTAGTAAAAGCACATGTTAAAATATTTACTGATGCAGAAGGAACAGATGACTGAAGGAAAAGTAGTTGTACAATTATAATTTGTTGATGAAATCATGAACTGTATAGCCCTGAATATTCACATTTTTCATACAACAATTAGAAAATACTTCTTCCTCAGAACAGCTTATTAATTAAGAGAAAGAGACTGAAAATAATGGGGAGAAAGCAGGTAGTTAAGAACACAATATCAGCAAACCTTCAGTTCTTCAACTATTAATATTCTTTCTTTCCTTTATTCTCTTCTCCTGAGGACTTTTTTTCCTATTTTTAATATTCTTAAAATATAAAATCTTTCACATTAAGTCTATTTTCATCACTTCTCATTGTTCTTCCCTGTTTGCAATCTCCAGTAGGAAACGTAACACTGCTAACTGACAAGTCTTGAGAAAGAACTCAGAAAGTGTTCTCTTTCACCTGTTACACGATTACTTTTTGCAAAGCAGCTCTCCCAACATCAACCTGTTGTACTGTCTTCTAAACGAACCAAGCCTTAAATGCACTTTGATATAAAAGGCAAAACATTACTCTGAAGAATGGACAGGCACTATAGATTGTTTCTACAATATTTCAGTGGAATAATAATGAGAAAAAAAGAAAGCCAACAACAAGTAGATCATGTAGAACACAGAAATGCTATTGACTAACATAATATTCTGAACTACTTAATCATAGGCATAGCTATAATTAAAGGATATGATATGATATGATATGATATGATTGATATAATACGCTTCCCTGTTGACAATTTCTATTATCATGACTAGCAGCAGAGGTAAATTCTGAAGGGAATTAGCAAACATGGACAGAGGGACAAAAAGTGTTTTAAGGAAATAATCACATAATGTTATGCTAAAAAGTGATCTATACTTCTATTTCAAATTATATAATAAACTTTTTATATAATATTATTTAAATTTCACTAGATTCCATATTTATTTCCCTTTTAAAACTAGAAAAAATACGTAGAAGAAATTGTAATTGTTGTGGATGACAACCTTTTCAGTTCAAAAAGAAACAGTAAATACAGGATCTCAGACACAAGAAAAGCACTGACTGAAACAGCCCTGGCTTTGTACTTCGTGATTCTAGCTTCTATATGGCACATCATTATGAATGTAACAAGAGAATATTTTAAAAGATAATTCTTCCTTCAATTAAAGGCTGTATTTATTCGACGTGGAAGATATTAAGTGGTTATTTTACACTTATTTTTTTATTCCTTTCTTTCATTTATCTGTGCAAGCATCCCTTTTAGTCTTTCATAATGGAACCGATACTCAGAACTGAATCCAATTATAACAACCTACCAGCAGTACTAATTGGTGAAAACGCCTTGCTGGTAATTGCTGTAAACTCATCCCTCTGCACAGGATGAACGAAGGCAATAAATTCTACCCAGCGTTAAACAATAGGGAAGACTGCCATTCGCACCGCTATTCTTATGTAAAATGCATTAAAGTGAGTCATCCACTTAAAAGTTACCTACTGGTAGCTTTAACCCAGATTCAGGGACCGAGGTAAGTGCTTCCAAAAAAAAATAAAAATCAGAATATTAAAATAGTAAGGTGAGGGAAAAAAAGAAAATGTCATTAATCCACAGTGTTTTGTTCTGGGGCTTTCTGTTCCGATCTGTAGGCGAATCTCATATATGATGTGTTGGGTTATTTTTGCCTTTCTTTTATTGCATGCTTTCATTATGTGATCTTCGCACTGGTCTGGGAAACACTTCCATGCTAATAAGCATTCTGTGCTTTACAGATTCCTGTCTTTACGGCCAGGCCAAATATAAAGCTGCTTGCACCGAGGGCATCCACCAGCTCTCGCAAAGGTGATTTTTGAGGAGTAACGATTTGCAAGGCCAAGGCTGGAGAAAACAGTTATTTAGTTGTGCAGCTTTAAGCGTGCTAAAACCCCTTCGGGGTGGCACATGGGTGCGTACACCCTCCAGCCCCAACCCCAACAACCGCGGGCAGAAAACAAACCCCGCGAGTGTCAGAATATCCGTGCTGAGCGCTGGAACACATCCAGGTAGGAGTGAGCTAAAGCACAGGCTCCAAACTCAGAGCAGTGCTCGTTTGCCTGTTTCACATGCCTGCCGCAGAAAGGCAAGGGAATCTGTCTTTTGCCTGAATTCTAATAAAATTGCTAAAGTTTTAATTAAAAAAAAAATATATATAACCACAACAAAACCCAATGTTAAAACTCCAGCCAGGCTGAAATAACCTTTGTGAGTGGAGGGGGCGGGCTCTGTGTAACTCGAAACTTTCCTCTCAGCACGGCTGAACTGCCGGGGTATATATTTAGAGCTGGGATCCGCTTTGGAGCGGGGCTGTGAGGCAAACCCTTTACCTCAAAAGTACCGCCGCCGGCCGTGACCGGGCCACTCTCCCCGCCTCCCGGCGACCGCCCTGGGGGCACCCTCTGCTACCACGAAGCCAACGCAGCCGAAATCCTGCTATTTCCTCTCACTCCCACTTTCCACCCGGACTTACTTTGTTTCCCTTTGTATTTTCGCCGGCGCCGCGCTCTCCCCAACCGAGAGGTGCGTCCCGGCCGTGCCCCCCGCCCCGAACCCGCGGACCCGGCGGGGACTTACGTCGTGGCAGAAGGAAAAGGTCCCTCCGAGGAGTGGTTCATCACCAGGGACTGGAAAAGTGTCAGGCTAAAGACTAGCAGCCAGCCAGCAGCCATCTTCCTGATCGAAGATCGATGCCCCTTCCCCAAGTCGGCGAGACGGCAGTAATAATAAATTCAATTATAGTGTGTGTGGTGGTGGGGGGGCTGTTGTTTTTTAAAGCCTCCTCAGATCCCCCCCACCCGCCCCCTCGCAGGAGGCGCAGCCCAGAGATGTGCGGAGAAGCGGGAGCGCGGCCGAGGGTGGGGAGGAGGAGGAGAAACGATGGAGATCTGTGGGTGGAGAGGGGGAAGAGAAACAGAGAAGAGCGAGAGAGAGAGATAGAGATACTCTACTCTGCTACTCCACCAGCAGCTCCAGCTTCATCTGATCCGCCGCCATCAGTGCTACTTTTGTAACAGATCTCCGCTCACTCGTGTATGCGTGTGTGTCCTTCCCTGATTTATTCCCGATTGCAGACAGAAAGAGGAGGAGTAGAGAGGCAGGCGGGGCAGGGGCTGCTGAAGGAGGCAAGGAGCGAGTTGGGAGACGGGCAGATCTGTTACAAAAGTTGCCTTCCCTGCCGGCAGCGGGGGAAAGTCGGGGCGGGGAGCGGGGGAGGGCGCGGGCCCTGTGGCTGCCGGGCTCCTTACAAGGCAGCCGAGGAACTCCCCGGGCTGGGCTGGGCCGGGCCGGGCCGCCCCCGGCGCCCTCCGGGGCTGCGTGCCGCACCTCCCCGCGCCCCCACGCTATTTTTAAAACCGCTTCGTGCCTTATTTTAATTCCTCCACCCCCCCCTCCTCCTCCCTTCTGAGCAGCAGCG